CAACTTTGGTTTATTTTTATACATTTGCATGTTTTAAAAACAACAATTTAATTAATTAAAAAATAAATTTTCTATCGTAAAAAAAATTAAGTACAAAAATGTTTAAAACCAGAAGTTTAAATTAAAATGCATACATGTATTTACTTTAAAGCTATATGAAGCTTTTAAACCTTTTAACGAATTTATAATCAAATATGAGAAGAATTTTTAATGACCCAGCCTTAATTCAGTTTGGCTTCATTTAGAGTTCATTAAGTAGTAACAACGATAATATTTAATCAGGGGACTTGTTATTAATCCTCGTATAATATTATTATGAAACATTCATAAACATGCGGAAAGGGCGAACTTTTAAGACCTACAAGGAAGTGTCAGATGGCGGTAATAAGATGTTGATGAAATCCAGTTTCATTTTAGATAAATCTTTTTTATAATCCGTTAATTTTATGAAAGCATGAAATAACTGTGGGTTATATAAAGTTTCTTGAATTTATTTTGAAACTTGGTCCAAAGTGGCTTATAGAAGTTTTTTAATTTCTCTCTAGAAAATATTACGAAAACGCCTCCTTCCGAAGAAGAGTTTTAAATTATGTTATTAAGGATTTAATAATAATATTTCTTCACCCCTTTTACACTTAATTCACACCGGGAGTTGAGGGCACATACTGAAAATTAAGTACATTTTAGGAAGAAAAATATTTTTTTTTACTTTAAGGTATTTTATATTAGGTTATTAATAAATTTTGTAATGACAAGAGTTATACTCATCTAGCTCCTTATCAGCACAAGAAACTGCTTGACGTTTCCGACTACTTTAACACTTACAGGGCAAGCTCTATAAGCTTCCAGTTAACTATAAATGACTTATTTAATAGACTATAAAAAGGCCTATTTGGACTCGAAAATTGAGTTTTGGGGTCACACTAAACTATAAAATTTTTCTCATATCCAATCCTTGCAATCCTAAATCCTTCCCAAAATCCTCAATATTTTTACTTTGCCATGACTGAAATCATCCATAGAGACATAAGTGAAAAAGTTCGTATATAAAAATTTTGTGCTTCACGGATGAACTATCTATTACGGGCAGCTATCATGAAAACTAATTATTCTTCAGTCTTCAGCTGCTATAAGTAATTTTCTACTATGAAAAATAAAAGAGGGAAATAAAACATGAAGTTATAAATTAAATATTATGTAATATAAATCATAAAGAAATAATCAGTTTTTTATCTGATCTTCTGTAAAGTAGTCAATTTTTAGATATTACATTTTGCACTAACAGTAGTGATCTACAACCGATATAACACAAGCCAGATACCAATCCTTCCATAATAATAAACTTCAGGCATAGTATAATAAACTGATATAATAAACTTCAGACCCATCCAGGTCTACTGTTGATATCATTGTATCAATTCACATTTACTTGTGTATTTAATAGAGACTAGAAAATAAGATAATAAAATACGTTCCTATTTGATCTCTCTTAACAGAATTATGTACCTGATGCGTTGATATTTTTTCAATGAAAACTTGTTTTGGAACGTTTAGCACTTTTTTGTGGAGAGTGAATTAGATTATCCCGTGAAAATTTTCAATTTGTTACGTTCGGGTAAATTCTACTGGATAGTCGGCTAATTGACGTGTTTTTGAATTAAAATATCTCAAAAGCTCAAAATCGGACCTGCATATAGTTATCGTAGGAAATGTTCTTCATTTCATCCTGTTTGTAATGAGCTATTATTCAAAATTTTATCTTAACGCGATGCCCTGTCAGAGTGGTGAAAAGGGGGAAAATAGTGCCGAAAACCAAATTATAACGAGTTTTATTGAAGATATGGATTAAAATATCTCAGAAACTAAAAATCGGACCTTCATACTATAGTCAAAGGAAATGTTCAGCATTTTATAATGAGCTATTATTTATAATTTATATTTCACATTATTAATCTCTCCTTGTTGATGTTTTAACTTCTATCGTGTGATCTAAAGCACACCTTAGTTTAATTTAATTTTTATTGACCAAAAGTAAAAAAAAAAAAAAAAAAAAAAAAAAAATCGTCAGCTAGCTCACATATGATACGTTAAATGAACAAAAAATGTCTTATATTTATTTCTCTGTTAATTTTTTATCGAAACAAAAGGCCTGACAAAATCTAGAGGATTCCTTACCCCTCTGAGATGGAGGAAAGAAAACGGATCCGATGGTAGCGAATTTCAGATTAAGTAGGGGAATCAGTTTTTTATTTTTATTCTCGGAGGAGTTAAAGAGGAAAATCAATCTTGTTTCGAACCTCTCCACTCTTCTTGTAGGCTTATAACTTCACTCATTTCAAGAGAGCGGGCAACTTGTAAACGAAATATTTATTCGAGCAGCGGGATTGATTCAAATAATAGGGCCATTTCTCACTTATCAACCGGCCTGTCACTGTTTTTATCTCAAACTATATTTATTTTTAAAATGGATTATATTCTCCTTTAAGACTATTTAAAATTGAATTTTTAAAAATGATATGAGAAATATTATGGTAACCAATAAGCCGTATGTCTCTTCTATGTATATGACATTTACTTGTATCTAGTAAATGTACATTTTTTGTTTTCTTTTTGCAAGTATGTTATCTTGTTTTTTTAATCCTGATGATGTCAGAATTGACGAAACATTATCAGTTTAGCTATATGCTAGTGATTAAAGGCTTTATTGTTTGAACTTTTCCATTTATATTTTAATTGCTTTATGTCTCATTTTGAGCTATATATATATTAATTTAAAGTAACAATTTTAACTTTTTTAAAAATTTTTGTTATAACTTTCAAATAAAATTAAAAAAATATATATTTATTATATTAATAGATGAAAAGCTCTTTTGACCTTCTGTTCCACAATTTTCTTTATTATTATGTAATTTTAATTTACATGAATGTTTCGGGCTATGGCCATCTTCAGGATATCTGAAAAATGTTTTAACGCATATTTTGCTTAACATATGACATTTTACAATATTAACCTTTCAAAATATCATCAATAATAATTATCTGCTTTTTAATTAACCACAGTTTATGTTTTATGGAAAACAATTTAAAATTTGTTTTCGTACATTTCACCTTGTCAATATACAATGGCCACTAATTAAAAAAAAAACTTTATCTAAATTAAAATTAAAAAAACATTTAAAGTTATGTAAATTTTAACAGAAACACAGATTTTACTGTTAAGAAGAATTTACATTTATTTTTTTTTTGTATATTTTATTTTTTCTAAAAGGGTTATTTATATTTTACCATTGTACATAGTTTTAAGTATCTGAGTATGGTTTCGAGAGTTTCTTATACAGATTATTTTATTTTATTTTGTATATAGTATGTATAACACATTCATTTATTTTATTTTTTTATTGATTTATCTTTATCTTTACTTTTTATGTTTGTTTTTATCTGGCCAGATATAAAATTTTAATTTCTGTACTTTTTTGTTATTCTGAAGGGATTGTTCCAGAATAAAATTATTTTCTATTCTATTCTAAATTATCAAAAACCTAAAAACCTAAAAATAATTAAATAGATCCAATAAATCAATTCATTTAACACATTTTAAAAATTAGTATATGTCATTTTATAAAGTATTATCTTTAAAATATCTCATTAAGAATAATTTTTTTTCTTATTAAATTATTATTTTATTGTTTTTTTTTGCCAATACACAATTTGATTAAATGAACTTTTTATTAATTAATTTTTTTTTAATTATAAGCACTTTTTCTAACCAGAACAGATAGAGAGTGGGTGGAGGGCTTATGTGGAATTTGCCAGTATATTGAACTTTATTGTTTAGGTTATTTATTTTATCAGTTTAGGTTATTTATTATATATCAGATTAAATTATTTATTTTATATAATTTAAGAGTTCTCATCAGTGATGAAAAGAATAAAATTACTATACTGTTTTTATTTTGTTTATTATGTCCTTGTATACTGTGTTTAAATTCTTTGCGTCATATCAAAAATTAACTGATTTTTTATTTATAATTTGAAAAAAAGCTTTGATAAAAACGGTTAACATGAAACTTATCGTGAACGGTAGATTACTGTTTAGGATCGTCTTTTGAAACTAAAGTGTGGAGGCTTCAGGAGTGAGGTTTTTTGGTTAGATAGGTTCGAAGCAAATTTTCAGCAGGAATATATAAGAAATAATATCAAATAGCTTAAGATCATACTGAAAGTAAACCAGGAATATTCGTTTGCATCGGTTGGACGATGGTAAGCGTTAGACCCCTATCTTATTGTACCTACAACTTTTTTAACTACGAAAATTCTCAGATATGATGCGTTTGATCATTAAATTAATTAATTAATTGTGGTTATAAAAACTGATGAAAAGCTACTTGCTTTCCACTGGAAGCGATATGATCGAATAATTGAATAAAAAAACTACAGAAAAAAAGGTGGCCTACAAATATGTTTGGCCTATAGAATCTCGTTATTTTAAGATCATTTTCTCTTATCATTTTTCTCAATATTTTTATTAAATCATCTTACGCTCAAGAGGTAAGCAAATAGGTTTAGTTCTCGATTAAATAAACAAATTTTTCGAATTTATAGATTGAAAACGCCCCATTTCCAAGAGTTTTGGTAAATAAAAAAATTGCAGATTACGGTAAGATACGAAGAGTATAACTACAGAATCTACAAAAAGGAAAAAAAAATCAGTGTGCAATATAAAATAGGTGAAAATCCATACACGAATAGGACGAGGGCTAGGAGATGTACATGTTTTAAATGTCATATTTTAATTGGGTGAGACTGGATCAGCTATTGGAGGAAGGCAGATATACTAGCAAGGAGAACCAATGAGACGCTACGGACTCTTATCCAAGCAAGTATTTTAGAACATATCTATGATTAGGATTATTATGGAATTAATAACCAATTTAAAAATCTCCTGTGATATAGATCAATAATCATATGATGTTAACTACATATGAATTAAAAATACAAACCTCCGACGCTGGCTTTGTAGGCGATGCCAAGGGAGCAGATGGAATTATTGGCTACCGCAGCCACCTCCCCAGCACATCTTGTTCCGTGCCGGTTCGAGTCGATCATGTCGTATCTCGGCATCGGGTTCTCGTCGTGGCTATTCACGTCATAGCTGGCCTGAGGATCCTGAAAACAGAGATGCACATATTATATTTATTTATAAGAATTTCAAGATATGTTTTCATGTTGTATTGGATCAAATAAATCGGGCAAATATTTTATAGGTATAAAATTAATAAACAAAAAGGACTGTGATTTAGCGTTCAGTTAGTTTCCAAACCATTATGACAGTGAAGCAATAAGGATACCTCTGGGACAGCTGGAATGGACAACAAGCAAGTTGTCTTAAATTACGTTCCTCATAAAGCTTTGGTTTGGAAGATCAAACTCTAGGTAATAAGGGACGAGGCTTGGAGTAGCTACTATTCAAAATTACTCCAACTAAAAGAAGTTATTCCAAAAATGGAGCATACGCAGCAGAAGATCAATGCTAGAAGAAATAATGCCGTATCACGTCAGAATAGACCATCTTGAATTATCTCTAAGGCCATCATTTCGGTGCTATAGAAACCCCTACTTCTATTGATCTCATCTAACTGTAGATTGTCAGCAGTATTCGCACACTAAAAAAAACTATAACACTAAAAAACTCCATGCTATAACTATAAATACTAAAAGATTCGCAAACTGATATTAATTATAAAGTCTCTAAAGAAATAACCTGTACCAATACAACAAATGAAGGGTTCAGTAATATTTTAGGAAAAGCACTGTTTCTTGGTCAACGGTTCGGCAAGAAAGTAAATTGACCGATATCACGCTCAACCGCTAGGTCTTCCCCCTTAATTAATTATTTAAACCAGGGTAGCCACTTATTAGAGACTAGATGTGTCACAGGAAGGTCTCTCAAACCCAGGGTCGCCTCAGCGAAGCAGAAGAAATATTTTTTTTGTCATGAACCGCGATTCGAACCAGGGACTTTAAGGATTGAAACCTCAGTACTCTACCACTGGGCTTCCACACCCCCCTTCTAAAGGAATACTTACACAAAATCAATTACTACAACAGGGTTTAAAATAATACACAAAATGCAAAGATCCATCGCGTTTAGTGTTGCCCAAAATCGGTCTTGGTCTTGCACCTTGCAAGACCAAGACCAATACCTCCTATCTGTTGCAAGACCAAGACCAAGTCTGGTAAAAAAAATGTATTTTTGAATAAAAATAAAGGCAAAATAATTACTAATACTTGACAATTTTAGTTGCTATATGTAATGAATTGGTATAACCAATAAACTTTTGCATTTAACTCTTCTAAGTTTTCATTCAGACTTAGTTAGGTTTCTAATATCCAAAAAAGTACAGTAAAATCTGTCTAGTAATCAGCTAATAGGTAAGTGCAAGACTGTCACGAGAGTCTTGCGCGAGACCAAGACTAGACCAAGAATGAGTTTGCAAGACCAAGACTCGTCTAGGTCTCGCATTTGGGCAACACTAATCGCGTTCGAATCTTTCCAATAACAAATAAATTCCTATTCTTTTAGTATTTTATTATTCCATCATCATTCCACACTTTGTAACGGTTATTATTATTTATCTCTTAGTTCTTACTATTGTCATTATTCTAACAACTTCATTTTACTTTAATTTTTTTTACCTACACTACTTATGTTTCTCATACCTTGTTATCTGGTTCTTTTTTTAGCCCTGATGAAGGCCTGAACTTCAGGTCGAAACGTCGGCAAATGTCAAAATAAATATTCTCATTTATTTTGCCTGCTTATTTGACTGATCACCCCAACTATTCTTCTCTTCATTATTCACGGCAGTCAACCATTTACCCACAATTTTAGTATTTTAAAGTCTCGGAAATAAAGAGCCTATATCACTGAATATTCCTTAAGGGTTGTATTCAAATTTCACATCTGAAATCTGAGTAATAAAATGCTTCGAATGCTTAAAAATTTATAGGTGTGATTGTGAATTGAATTAATGTCGCATTTCAGGCTATTACTATCTGTTCATTATAATTAATTAAGTTTGTAAAATTATCGTTTGCTGCAATCTGTCTTTCACATTTTTTTCCATTAATAAAATGGAAAAAATAGATAAATATTACGTGTTATAGTTTTGCATAGTGATTAAAACGACACTTGAGACGGGGTGATCCACTCGTAAATAACCAAAATTAATTCATATTAAACATAGATAAAACGCAGGATATCTAGATAATTAAAAGCATAGTTAATATATGCACCATATACCGAGGAATATATCTGCTTTCGATATACTTTTCTTCATAAAAATGAGTACCCCAGTAATTTATTATGCTATAAAAAAAGGAAGAAAGCCCCAAATAGTAAATTAAAAAGCATCAGTCCCATAAAAAGAGGAAAAATCTTTAAAATATAATTTCCCCGAGCTTAAAGCTGAAATACATCTTCCGTATTATAAGGTGGTAAAGATAAAAAGGGCGCTCTGGCAAGCAATCTATCTAAGCCACCATCCTTAAAATATGGATCTTCCAGATATTGTTTCCAAGTGAATAATTTAAAATGTAATTACTTTCAATTTCAATTACTAGACCGTATCATTGAGTAATCATAACTGAAGATTTTCTTGCAGTAAATAAGTTTTACTTTTTTTTTTTTTATAGTAAGTAAGTTTAATAGACTGAATGAAATATAAATAAAATAGAAAAGAGAAATATTGCTTAAATCATTTTTTTGTTAATCATAAAAATAGGTTTTTATGAAAATGAAAATTCATTTTATAGTTATTGGCAGAGAAAGAAAATAAATTACTAGGCACCAAGTATTTTATTCCAATACTGACTCTTTTAAGTACCAAAGAATTTAATTACTACATCATTTGTTGTCAAACGATTAACTGAAGTAGTGATTGAACTCCCAATATTGATTCAATTTGAGTAAAATACTTGGTCCTCGGTACTCAGAGCAGCATTTGCCAGCCTCTGCTTATAGATTTATGAAATCATTAATTCAATTTGATTAGACTTTACTATGTTTATGTCAGTAGGACATATAAATGCACTTATTCTGTAGCGTTCTTTTAAGACCTAAAGTGCCATGTTTAATAAATAGCAATAAACTAATTTGCATTTGGTAATTGCAGGATTTTTGTGAGGCTCTTGTGCAATACCTAGACCAAGTCTTAATCTCGCATTCGGGCAACACTAGTAACATTCAATGATTCACCAACTTCAACTTTTTTTATAGCTATTTGTTTTTTGTGATTCTACATAAAAAACAATATTAGACTTATGTGCGGGTGTTAGTTGCAATTGGTATTGGGAGCCGAGAAAAAACATTTCAAGCAAATTTATGTGGTTTTTATTTTAGGTTTTGCTTTAAGCGAATTTCTTGGATATCATATACCAATCGATTTCTTTTCTTTTTTTCAATATGAAAAAAAAAAATATTGCCGATACGATTGAACGAGTTATAATGCATCTTAAATTACCAAAGTCGAAGATATGCTTTCAATAAAGTAGGCTAAGAAAATATTTGTTTTGAAAAAGGCGTTTTTTCTCTGTCCATTAACTAGAGCATTCTTAATTATTCAGGATTTTCTCCGAATTCATCGCTACTATATCCATTGGACAGTTGAAATATGTTCTTCAAAATTATATCAATAATTGATTTTACATCTTTATGAGAAATAAATAAATAAAATATCCTTAAAGGTTTTTATTTTTTATCTCTAGTTCTAATTTTTTTTAAGAGTGTCTGGTTTGTGTCATTTTTAATAATGTTATTTATAAGCAGACCCTAAATCACTGATAATATTCGTGTAGAGTCCTCTTGAAGTTTAAACAAGTTTTAGCGAAATTCGTCAAAACAATCGAAGGCTCCAGCCTAGGCAAAAATATTTGCACGTGAATACCATCTGATAAAAAATGGCTCTATGATTACTATACTTTCAAACAACACAAATATTATTTGATATTAAAATCATATCATTTAACTATAACTTGATCATATTATTTATTTATGATATTTACAACTGTGTTAAGAAAAAATACATTCAGTAAATGTGATTACATAGTAAAAATAAAAGTATGAAAATATTAATCACATTATAAACATTTAAAATGAGTACCTAAAGGTTTTTCCACAGTTTATTAAATCCTCAAGTTGGTCAGCTGGTGAATGCCCTGAAAGAACATTTATCACTCGGACCTATCCAGTTATTGCTCAGACCTCTTGTCTTAAAGCCTGGTCGATTTCTCGACTTAAACCACTCTAAACATCAGGATCATAGAGTAATGAACTCATAATAATCATAATCTATAAGCCTCTTAACCAATAGGGATTCATATGAATCTTCCTTATTTATTGAGTAATAAAATCATATTGAAAACATATTTAACAAATTATAAAATGAAGTGAAACTAAATATCCCATACGATAAAAAAGAAACAAAACAATTATGCGATTCTATATGAGATTATGACACAAGTCATAATATTTCAACAGTAGTAGTATGGAAATAGTGAAAAAAAAAAAAGTTTTATGGAAAACAAATTCATAACGAAACACTACAAACGAAGAATACAATACAAATATTTAATGCATAATTCGGCTAATATAACTAATATTGATATTATATTCTTTTTAATTCTCTTGTTAGTTAAATAAGGATAACAAATCAAAAGCCATGGAGAAGGAAGACATCACCGAAGGCATTTCATGAAAGAATAAAAAAAGATAGAGTTAGGAAGAGAACAACGAAGAGGGCCACTGATGGAATTCCAAAGGGAATAAGAAAGTTTGGAGGAGTGGAAAAGCAAGAAGAAAGTGGAAGAAATATAAGGAGATTTACTAAGTTAAGAGAAAGCAAATAAAAGGAGGCTTAGTAAGTTACCTGAAGAAGTTGCCAAGTTACCTGCCTGAGCTGAGGAGAAAAATAAAAAGGTGGAATGAACGATAACGAGGAGTGGTGAATTATTAAGTTAATGCCACTAACTCCTATCACTCATTAAAAAAGAGAAAAAAATGAATCTAAAACATTTAAGACGAAAATTTGGATAGGGGTTATCTGCGATAAATTATTTCGAACAATACGTAACGTAGAGGCTAAAAAAGGTTGTTTTATTCCTTTAGCATAATTTTTTTATTTATTTATTGAAAAATATTACAATGTCTCAAGGACATTATAATAAGAAAAAATACATATAAATTTAACCTCCTATGAGATAGTATAATATAGAGGTAGAATGTATAAACTTTAAAAAAAAATAAATTAATATAAAACAAATGAGGATGTGAATTGTACATTTTGAACGCTTTTTACAATATTATAATACCATGAGATACTCGAACGAAAACATACAACACTAAGACCAATGTTTTGTCAATAGCCAGCCCATTGAATTTGGCATTCAATTTCAACAACAGTGACAAGATCCATGGATCATCGCTGATCTGAGTCGACTGAATGTTTAGGTGATACGTATAGCTTTATTTAGCTCTTATGGTTTAAACTTAAAATTATAGAGCTAATACCT